GTGCAAAAGGTGACATTGAGCATCCTGGACATGTCAGGAATTCTTAGCCTGCTGTGTTTCTCAAAAGAAAAAAGAGATTGGGGCTGGGATTTAAGAGCAGGGTGGCCTGGTCATAAAGGAGTTTAGGACTAGGACTGGGCATGGGTGTGACCGTGGGATAGCCTTGTGGGTTGGTGTATAGTGGGCAGAGCAGAGAAGTCATTCAGGTGATGGTGGGGCTGCTCTTACATCCCTGAGAGTCTGGGTGTTCACACAGGGACCCCCTGCAGTCCTACACTGGGAACAGGAACACTTGGTGCTAAAATCTCTGTGGCAGCCTCTTGGGCCCCAAGTCCTGAACATGTTTGAAAACTTGCAGTCCCCCAGATTTTGACCCATTACATTTGCTCCTCATGTTATGGTTTAATTCCAGGGAGTATCTTTAGGAACAGTCTGTGAGTAGATGGGCTCTCTCCCTTCATGCAGCAGATCCCACCCAGCACATTTGTGGGATATGTTCTCTTCCATTAGGAAGATGAAAGGTAAAAGAAGGAGAGAAGGCTAATCCTGATCGATTGCCAAAATCATAAAATGCAGAGGGGGAGAGGGAGAGGGGGGGAAGAAACCTGCTGTAAATTACCCAAAGAGTCCATGCTGCAGCTGGGGATTAAACCCAGGTCTGCAGAATTCCAGTCAGTTCCTGTGAGCAGGAGGCCACTTGCATGTGCTGGCTCCCTGCTCCGGCCGCTCCTCTCCGAGGCAGCAGAGCTGCTTGCCAAGTGTGAGAGTGGCAAAACTGGGGCCAGTCGGCACTGCCTTTGGAAGCACCGCCGTTCAGGGGAGCCCTGGAGTGAGTGTGGGATGCAGGATCACATCCCCTCCTGCTGCCCCGGGACACTGGGGCTGCCTCAGGGCTCCCTCGGGAGCTCCTCCTGGAATGACTGCCCAGGGGGCCGGGGGTCACTGGCTGGGGGTTGTGCAGGAGGGAGGTGGATGAACAGCAGAGGATGAACAGTGAGAGGGGACAGGCATTTCCATTACAGGAGCTCTGGATTTATTTCTGTTCATTCATTGCAAGTCAGAATCCATTCTCTTCATCTTTATTCTTCCATGCCGTGACACCTTTAAAATCCATGGTACATTTAACTTTTGATTTTCATTTAATACCTTTTAAAGTGATCTAATGCAGACAGATTACAGACAGTGAGGGTTACTGTCCTTCGGTGGAAATACCCTATTTAATAAAATATTGTAAGACAGCTTGGCCACTCCATGCATTCACAAAAAGAAAAATATACTAAGTTTAGATGCTATGGCAGTAAAACTTCATAGGCTTATCAATTCTGGCCAGTCACACTCTCCTGAAGTTTTCACATTACCTTGCAAAGGCAGCCAGCTATCCTGGTTTGGAAATCAGAACCAGTTGTTTTTGCAGTTTGCAGTATTTAATGTAGATCTATGTAAATTGCCAGGGGAGGGGGAGGAAAGCAGTTTGATCTTAAAATATAATTTGGATTGTTCTCATCTTTTCTTGTAAAGGCTGTTTTGATCATTTGTTGCCACCTCCCAGTTTTCAAACACCTCAGTGTCTCAAAAAGTTCTGATACTTTTAAAGATAAGGATCAGATTTTATGTATTTTTGTCTCTCAGTTCTCATGCCTTTGACATTCAGGTTTGCAAACTTCCCCTATCAAAGGCTTTAACATCTTTCCTTTTTTTTTTTTTTTTTTTTATTTTTAAATGAAAATTGACATTCTCATTTGTGACTGTAGGAGCCAAGACTTTCAGAAAAATGCCAAATACCACAATACCTATGGGAATTTACAACCTTATTATTAATAATGGGCGCCTCTCACTTCTCTTCAAACCTCCCAAGATTCTGATGTTTCATCTAAATCCACCCAAATTCCTGTGATCTTTAAAGGTGGGGAGACAGTGGAAAAGTACTTCCTTGAGAGAGGAACTGATTACAAAGCATGGATCTGGTTTCCAGTTTGAACCTCTTTAAACATCAAATACTTTCAGGTCTAAGGTTTGTGGGGTTTTCCCCCCTTCTTTTTTATTTTACTGGTAGAACAAAAAATTTGATTTAACGTTATATGCCTGGAAAAAATAAAGCATTTAATTTACATTTTACAAGGCAGTTATTGCAGGTTAATTAAATATCAATTGAATGTTATAGGCCATATTAAGATTTATTAATAACCCAACAGATAAATCTCCCCGGAATTCAATTAAATGAAAATCGCATAAAAATATATGTGCAATTTTATTCATATAGTGCATAAAACTTGTGAATTATAGTGCAGCATTGTACAGTAAGTTGATTAATGGGAATTAATTGCTGAAACAGAGAAAAATCAATTTAAACTTTCTGTAGCAGCTCTAAGAAGCGTGGCCTGGGTCTTCCACACCCTTGGAAAGCTGTGCCTGATCTGTACCACGGGATGAGCCTGGGAATAAATGTGCTTCCTCTCCTTTCACCTGCTTTAGCTCAGCGTTTTGGGCTTGGAGAAGGGAATTAGTCACTCCTGGCAGCACCTTGTGGGGAGCTCATGGTAGGACTGAGGCTCCCAGAGGGGAAAGCAGAGCAGGGTGACACAGGGGGGGTGTCCCTGACGCTGAGGGTGCATGTGAGGTCATGCCTGGTGTCACAGGCAGGTCCCCCTGCCGGGGAGAGGCTCACAGGTGCAGCCAGAGGTTTGGGACTGTTTGGACCGATGGATTATGGAGACTTTTGCCCTGATGCTGTTTCAGCTCCCTCTCTGAGTGAGGCAGTTGGCAGCAGGAGCGCTGGTTGCAAAGCCGGGAGCAGAGGAGCGTGTTGGGCTTTAACCGAGATTAGCGAGCGGCTCAAGGCCCGTTTGGGGAAGCAAAGCTTCCGACATCGGAGATGAGGTTCAGGAGCTGGACTTGGAAAATCTCTTCCCAATATTTGCAGGCCGATGGAGGCCTGGCTTGCTGCCATCTGTTCCCTGCACATCCTGTGTTAAACACTGTCAATATGAGATTATGTTCCAATTACGGTACCAGACTGACTGGTTTAACTCCTACCAGGAATCTGTTTTCCTTTATTACTATGCACTAACTCTGTGACTGATGTACCAGACACCAAAAGAGATGGTCTCTGCCCAGAGGGCTTTGTCTGACAGGAACACGCCGGGAGAAGACGGGAGCGCGGCAGAAAATGCAGATGAATGAGTAACCGGGTTGAGATTCTCTTTTTAATTTGGGGATTCTTTGCTTGGTTTTGTGTTTGGCTTGAGTTGTGATATTACTAAATTTGCTCCCTTCAGACGTTGCACAAGAACAGAGACTTCCACAGAAACTCAAACAGGGTTAGGCATGTGGCTCTTTGAAGTGTGCGTGATGGGGGGTGAGTGCTCAGCACTCACATGGGAATATTGGAGGGTGGAAAACAGAGGGAGAGCCACCTTCCAGCTCAGGCAACAACCCCAGCTTGTCCTGGGGAAGTTTAGCCATGTTCAAAAGACAGCAGGTGTCTTTCTGTCAGTGCACTCCTTGCTTATCCTCCCTGCTTCTGCAGCAGAGATTGCCTGCATCTGTCTCCTCTGTGCTCCAGCTCTGCTTCTCCCTGCAATAGTTGTCAGGGATATTAGCATTAAATACTTACTGCCTGGCTTAACTAAGGGGTAAGATAGGATTTAATTTGTATGGCTGAAATCCAATTATATAATGGAGCCCCTGGGGGAAGCAGTTATACCTGCTGAATCTCTTGGATGAGTAATTGTGCACAAAGGCTCCTCTCCAGAAGTAGAAACAGATCTGAAATGTTTTTCCTTTTCTTTCTCTCTTTTTTTTTTTTTTTTTTTTTTTTGCTGTTGCTGTTACATAATAGGGCTGAGACCCTGAAAAGAAAAGCCAATGACAACCCAATGCAGTAGAAAGAATTAAAGCATTGCCAGGGGAAAACAAGTTATAATCTGATAAAATCAAGGATCTAACAGGAAGTCTGCAGCAGCATTAGCTTGGAGGAGCCAAAAGGCAGGGCAGCCAAAGGAAGCTTACTCATCTTTTTGGAAAACAGCACAGAGGCTTTGCTGTCTAACTTTTCCCCCCATTTCTGCCACGAACGGGGAAAGGGAATCCTCTACTTGCTTTTGTCAAAGCTTGGGAGGTGGGTAGGTATGAAAAAAGAAAAGCTGAGCAGCCAACTAATTCAGATACTCTTGAAAAATGCTGCACTTAACTACCTTTGAAAATCCCTGCTGCTTATCCTGCTTGTCATCTGCATCCTGATAAGCATCAGAACCATAGGTGATGATGAGCAGGACAGGAACAAAAGCGTGATGAGGTTCCCAGCGAGGTTTCTGAAAGCAGGCGAGCTTGTAAGGCATTAATCTCTGGGATAGTACTGGGGCTTGACAACTCTCCCATCTGATATCTCCAGCAGCTCCAAATCCCACAAAGGAACACGCTCAGGGCTCTGGATGGGACCGGAGGCACCGGCGCGCTGTGCTTGCGCAAGCGTTCCCGGGGGTCAGGGTGCCGGATTCAATTCTATTTTTAAACACAGAAAGCAAACTTTTATTCTTTTCTAACGAGTTCTGAGTGGAAAAATAAATTTCTCCATTCTCTTTGATTCCCTGGCTGCAGGAAGATCAAACTGCTTCCTGCCAGCCAAGGGAAGTCCAGGACTCCAAGTGGCCCAGGCTGAGGACAGACCTGGCTGGTCAGAGGCTCCCACCCCTCCTTCAGCCTCGCTGCCTGGGCAGGGATTTCCATTCCTTTAAAACACGTCTGAAGCCCAGCGGGTGCAGCACAGGCTCCCACGAGGACGGTACCTGTTCCCAGCCTCGCAGCTCCACCCAGTGGTTCTTTTTTGGCAGGATAAAACCCATCGTTTCAGAAGCTTTAAAAACCTGTTGAGGTCAAGGCTGACACACCGGGGCCATGCCCTGGAGATGCGCACCAGGGATTGAGGGTGGGTTTCTTCGTCAAATTCTGAAAGAGGTGTCAGCTACCGCTTGGATAATGGCTAAAAAACTACAGAGAGACTCTCAGCGAAAATAGAAAGCCCAGAAGTTTTATTACTCCCTTAAACACCACCCCCCTCCCCGTCACAAATGGTAGGGGGAGAAAACAGTAGGGAGCTTCTCTCTTACACACTTTAACCTTTCAAATTCCCTACGAGCAGATTGCAACCGTTTTGCCCAAATTTATTTGTTACATGAAGTTAGTAATGAATTACCAGAGCGACTGATTTCTGATTTGCCAAATCAGTTTGAATAAAAGCGAACGTGAGAGTGAGTTTCAGCAAATGTAAGTTGGCAGCTCACACTGTATTGCTCCACTTTCCTTCCTGGGTAATTACAGGGACTAACAGGAAGCAAATTTTGGTCGTTTCTCTCAAGGATGCCATGCTGAAACTTGCTTTTCCCAGGAGTATTGGGGTGCTTGTAATTAAAATAAGCTTTGATTTGTGCATGTGCACACTTTTACTTCAGGAACACTTGAGATGGGTATGTATTCACAGAACACAGAAGTGTGATACCAACAGAGTTAATTTTAGATTTGAACCAGTATTGTAAAAATACCCCATTCCTCCAAGCTCGAGTGAAAACTGAAATCTCAGTTGTGCATAATGCAGATTTACCAGCCTCTCCGTATGTCTTAAAAATAGAGAAGCTGATAAACTGATAGAAACCACAGTTTTGCTGTGAATTTTCTGGAAGTGCCTGCCCCATCTGTGTTAGGAAAATATCATCTGTGAAATGCTGCTCCCAGATGGACTGTGTAGCTGCAGTGCCACGGAATGGGTTGAAGTGACCTCTCCCTCCCGAAGTTCAAACGTTATTTAGCATAAATTCAGCCCCTCAGGCCTTCACTTGAAGTTGCTGTTTGCCAGCACAGCTTTAATCTGCTTTGCTTTGCTTTGCTGCTGGAGTGCTGGGACCTTAGAATATATAAACCCCACCTTTGAGCTTGTGGACATCAGTTCTCCAGCCACACAACTGGGGTGAAGGAAGTCAGCCTGTACATTTTGAGCACAAGAGGTTTCTTTTTATGGGGGTAATATTTCTAAGCAGATGTAATATTCTGCATGTCAAAAATATCAGGAAGCATCTTGCAAAAGGTAGTTCTGGAAAAGAGAATTTTTTTTTTTCCTCTTTATTAAAGCCTAAAACAGAGCAAGAACTTGCTGGGTTTTCCTTGTCTTCCCCAAAAGTATCATATATGTTTTTATACCCTTTAGTGTATGAGGCAGTAGAGGCGTCCCACCAGTTGTCTGAGGCCGTGGCTCCTTAGGCTGTGGAACAAAACTGGTTGTCTAATTTCACCAATAAAGGTGTTTTTTGGGGCACCCTCTCTCATCTGAGCCTGTCTGTCCTGTTCCCAGGGGTGACCCCATGCAGTGGTGGCACTGTGGGAGGGACTGAGGCCAGCAAGGCCCACGTGGTTGCAAGAGGAAGCTTTCAGATGCACCCCGGTGTTCCCCAGCACACAAAAGAGCCGAGATTTTGGCATGACAAGTGTATCTGTATTTTGCATTTGCAGCCTCAGAGTTCTGCTCCTTCTCTGCCTCTGCCCCAGCATTTCTGTGTTTGCAAAGGTCCTGCCAGAGATCTGTGTGTGCTGCGGAGTTGGGATGGAACCTGCTGGCGTGACAAGCGGTCTCCTTCCCCCAGAAGTGGTGTTCAGTTCTTCTTCCCGTGAAACTTGGGGTGTTGCAGGTTCCCCACAGCTGCTTTCAGCCACTGGGCAGTTCTGAGCCTGCTCTGGTCCCAGGTGAACAGGGGTCTGTACCCAAAATGCCTGGAGGCTTTGTCTGTCTCGTAGGAGAAGGTGGTGACGATTGTGTTCAGCAAAGGCAGGTTCAGGAAAGGCTGAGGCTCCCAGAAGGGCAACAAGATGGCCCTGATTATCCTGTGCAGTTGTATCATTAACCACATCTTCCAGTAGGGGATGTGTGAGCCCAGTCTCACCGAGGGGTCTGCAGTGGACAACAGCTGGTGCCTGACCAGGAAACCCTTCCTGGATGGAGTGTCATCATAGCAGTAGTACACTTGTCCTGCCAGTAAGCCTGGTTTCAGCTGCAGGTTCCTTGCTGCAAGGACGTGCATCCATGCAACGTTCCCTGGGGAAATGAGAGAGAGGACAGAAACAGGTATTAAGGAGGAGCTAAAGTTCCCTGTTTACTGCAGAATGAGTCCCAGCTTCAGTGCTGGGAAGCAGGGAAGCACTCGTGGGGTGCTCAGCTGCATTGTAGAGAGACTGAGGAGTTAATCCAGGCCTCCAAGATCCTTTAAACCTTTGGTCTCCCCTCTGAGCTGGACAATTAATGTGCCTCGTGATCCTGGTTCATGTGAAGGGAAAGGGCAGTGTTTTGTAGTGAGAGGAGGATGAATGGGAGGCAGTGCTCGAGGGTTTCATTCCTGGCTCTGCTGTGAGCCTTTGAAGAAGTCACTTGATTTGTGTGGGCCTGATTCTTCCCTGAGAGCATTTCCAAAATACTGTTATCTGCACTTTTGGAATAAGACATCTGAGTGTGCTGCATGGAAATGACTGAACCCCTGCCTGAGTTAATGGTGAGTTGTACTCCCTGAAAGGCATTCAGCACCAGGACAAACTCTTCCTGTAGGCCTTGTGAACAGTTTCTCATGCTTGCTAAAATCATTTATGTAGCACAGGCCTTTCTGTAAGGAATTTGACAAGCAGTGGTAGGATGATTTCTTCTAATGAAGAAGAAATTAAGCATCTTTTCAAAGCAAAAACATTTTGAAAATATTACCTGAGTTTCTCTCTCTGCCCCCCCCCCCCATATATCCCCTAAAACATTTACCAAGATAAAAAAAAATAACCCTTCCCAGGAAAACAGTCATAGTAAAAGCAGCTGCCTGAAAAATTCTTAAGCCAGCCTAAGTTTTGTGGTTATAAGAACATTTGTGCTCATTCCCCACATTCATCTCTCTGTCTTGGAGGATTATGGTTAAGGTGATGTGTGACTGAAGCAGGCACAGAGCTCAGCCCCTCACCCACGTAGGTGTGGTTCCTCTCCGAGTCCTCAGGCTCCAGGTAGTTCAGGACACCACCCCTGGCCTTGGCCCCCCAGTAGAGCTCCTGCAGAAACGCTGCCTTCTCCCCGTACACGGTGTTTGCACGGATGACGCACGTTGTGAGTTCACCACCACGGCTCAGCTGGAAGATCGGGGAGGGATGTCAGTGAGGGATGCACTCAGGGAGGAAATTCTTCCACAGAGGGTTTGCCAGAGAAACCCGAAACCTGGGAATACTGGCTGACGTTTGTGGAGGTGCTCTGGATATTTGGGACGTGGTTTGGGTGCCTAAAAATGCAAGGAGGTGCCTGGCTTGATTCTATTTGTTTTTCATAGCTCACCTGCACCCACGTGCTCCCTGAGAGGTGCTGGATGGAAGGTGCTGGTGGCATGAACTGTTCTGCAGTTGTGATGTATAAATGAGTTTTTGCAACAACTAAAATCAGGTACCAGAGGAAACCAACCACGCTGAGTGGCCTCAAACTGTAACAGGGAGAGAGATGCTCTAGGCAGTGATTTAAGACCCAGGTCTCATTTTTACATTCTGCTTCACTCCCTAGAAGAACTCATCTGCCTGCTGACTGCACTGGCACTCTCAAAGAGTGGCCAGCTGTGTTAGGTAGGGGGCTGACTCTGGGTACAGCAATATTTTTGATTCTGAGGTCACTCAGACATGCCTGGAAATTATACTTTCGTGCAGTATGGACTAGGGGAACCTGGTTTCCTCAGCCCTGATTTAGCACAGCTCTTTCCAAAGTCACACTCCTGCTGGAGCTAAAGCACGGGCTCAAAGGGAAGCATCCTTTGATCCTGCCAGAGTTTGGCAGCTTCCTGCTGATGTGGGAATACTGGGCTTTGGGAAGCTTAGGACGTCGTGGTTTGTGCATCAAGTCAAGGCAGCTGTTGGATACACACTTAGACAGGAGCTGTGGGGCCTTTTCCAACTCCCTCCTTTCCCCCACCCTGTGCTGTAATTCCAGGGGTGCTGCCATTGGATTTGGTACCTTTTTTCCGTTGGCTTCAAGTACAAGTTTTTCTGCCATGGCTTTTGTCTTCCCATATGGCAGCTCCACTTCCCCACTGTACTCAGTGTCCTCATTCCCTCTGGAACACATTGGGAGAGACACTGAGTGACCACAGGGTCTGGAGACGTCTGTCACAGCGGGATTTCCTCTGCTCCCCGGGGAGTTATGGGAATCTGAGGTCCCTGCTGCAATCTGGGAGAAATAAGGCCCCAAGAAACACCAGGTGGTTCGTGGTGTTCACATCCAGGCTTGCACGAGGGCAGTGGTTTGGTTTCCGAGAGCCGGATTTGGTTTTGTCCAAGAGTGCGATGGAAGCAAATAATATCCCAGCAGGCCAATTAGGAGGCAGTGGAGTTACATTGTTTAGCCACTCACAGAAGCTGAACAGGGTGAAAAGAGCACAGGAAGATGGAAGGCAGGAAAAATGAGAGCAATCCTACTTCATTTTTTCATTAGAGGCAGAGAAAAGCCTCTCGTGAGCCATAAACTAAAAGGAGAAGCTACTGCTTAATTTTCTCACAGAGTTGATTAAAGTTGGGAGGCTTTTGCTGGGGATGTGATAGAGCTGCTGGTGATCTGGAAGACTTGCAATCAGCAGGTTTGTGCTGGGATTATTCCTTCATCTCCCCTAACAAATTAAGTTTGAGGGGAAGGCAAAGCAATGACCCACAATTAAGGGCAAGCAGAGCTCCAGCCAAGCTGGGGACACTGATTTGCGGCTGTGGAAGACAACCTGCTCCCCAGCCTCCTCCCTCACAGCTGCTAAGAGGAAACCCATGGCATCTAAAGTGTCACTGGCCTCTCAGGACCTGAAATAATTCCAAGGAGAAACGAGAGAGCAGCTCTGTTCCTCACCAGGGTGCAGGTGTTTTGTCCCAGTGGCTCTAGATCAGATTAGTTCTTCACTAATTTGGATTTGGTTCAGCAAATCCAGTGGGCTCTGGAGGAGCTGGGGAGTGAAGAAACCTCATTTGAAGCATTGAGGGGCCCATCCATGAATACCATGTGGGCAGCTGCTCCCCTGCTGCCATGACTAGCATGGATCAGCTCTCTCTCCCTCTTTGTGCTGCAGGAGACTTCCTTCACCTTTTTAAAATTAATTTACTCTATATTTTGCTCTCCAAGAGAAATCCACTGCAGGCAAACCCTGGACTCTGCCAGGCATGGGGTACCCCGTGCAGGGCAGTGAGGACTTATCCTGCTCCTTTGGCAGATGGGGCTTGGATGCACCTCTTGGAAGGGTTCAGTGGCCTGTGTGGAGCTGGCACAGCAGACCTGCACCAGAGGTGCTTTTGTCACACACACTGAGCCCCGGGAGGGCCAGCTCTGACTCAGGCTCCCTGTCTGACCTTGGGCAACTTGCTTTGCCTTTTCCCTGCTCAGATCTCCACGTGGAAAACGTGGGTGATGCTGTTGCCTTGCTCCTGCCTGTTCAGCAGTGTGTTGTGTGCCAGATATCCCAGCTGAGATCAGGGGCTTCCTGTGCTGCAGCAACAGAAATAAATGAGGAGTGTCAGAGATGGAGCCTCCTCGCACACCCTGGGCTTTTGTCACAAACCCCTCCTCCCTTTCCCCGTGTTTGCAGGTGATGAGCAAGAGACAAACCAAAAAACAAGCAAGACAAAAGATTGATTGAGCAAGGTCTGTTGCAAGCCCGGGAGAGGCCCAAGACAATTGTGGGGGGTTTATCTAGAAGTTCTAGTTTTAATTGCTTTCTCTCTTTTTTTTTCAATCCTTTTTTTTTTTTTTTTTTTTTCCCTCGCCTTGCAAAGGTTTTTAAAAAGCCACAGCTTCACAAAAGGGGCGAACCAAACCTGCTGTTCCCGGGCTGCTGCGCTCCACTCGTGTGCCTTCCCCCTCCCCTCTGAAGCTCGGGAGTAACAAAGAGCTCAGCATAATGCTCTGGCTTTTCGAAACGATCAGAGATAGCGGAACGCTAATCAGAGCCGAGCAGCGTTGTCAGAAGGGATCTCAGCCCTGGCTGTCTCGGGGGGATCGAGACTGACAGAGGCATTTTCTATTATTGTCGGATGCTGAGGTGTGAGCATTATCCCCGCACCCATCACCCCGGCCACAGGCTCGTCGTGCTTTGTCTGTGTCAACTCCCGAGCACGAAAAAGGGGGTTAAATAAATTATAGGAGGAATGATGGAGAAGGGGGAGAGAGGAAAAAAAAGGGGAGAGGCAGGCGGGATCGTGGACTGCGAGGGAGAGGGTGGAACAGGTTGGGTGGGGATGGGGGAGGTGGGAAGAGAAGGAAGGGGAAAGGTGCTTTCAGACTGGCAAACAGGGCCATATTTCACTGCCTTCCAGCCACCCCTGGGCTCCCTGTTGAGGCGAGGGGTGTAAGTTTTGACTGGGGGGGTGTGTGTGTGTGTGACCCTTCTCTCATTGTGTAATTCCCTTAGTTTAGAATCAAAATCACCGGAGAGTGAAGACCACACTCTTGAGCTTCCTGCCAGCTTAATGGGAGACCCTGAGTGTGCTCTGCCGAGTGACTCAGAGGCTCCAGGTGTGCTTTTATTGGCATTTGTGGTGGGGGAGGACTGGGCTGTGGTGGGCAGAGGATGTCCGTGTGTAACTCCAGCAGCATCAGCCCAGGTGGGCTTTGCCTGCCCCCACTGGTGCCATCATGAGGAGCCAAAGGGCTGTGCTCTCAGGCAAGATCTGGGGTTGATTTTTTCAAGACATCTATTCACATCTAGCTCTTAAGTCCTAGGACTAAAATATGACAAAGATGTGCCTGTAACTACACTCATTTTTAGAAATGACCTGGATATGCTAATGAACAAATTCCATAGCTTTGCAGTGACACAGAGTCTCTAGGGCTTGTGGTCCCAAGTGGTTTGTTACTCTCATGGTTTTTTGGTTTTGTTTTGGTTTTTTTATATAAGCCAGACATTTATTCTACAGATTTGAGTACTTAAACACTTTTCAAAACAACTGGCTTATGCCTTAGCTTACTTGTGAGAATGAAATTTAGGCTTGTAGGTCATTTTAAGTTATGTCTTAAGCAGCCTTTTCTAGCTGGGCTCAAATTTCTAGAGCAAGTGACTAAGCCCAGCTGTGTCCAGCCCGGCTGCCTGTGGAGAAAAAGCCCTGACTTTGAGGCAGTTCCCCTTGCACACAAGTTTCCATGGTTTGAGCATGGCCTGTGTGGCTACAGCCCTGCTTGGAACCATCAAGAGCCCTTCCAGTAGTACATGTCAGAGTGCAGATATCTCTACTTGCCCTCAGATTTAATCTAAACCAAAAGATTTGCTTTTCCTGGTCTTCAGAAATACCAGCCCTGTTGTCAATGTGCAGGTACTGCTGACCCAGGAATACCAAAGGTATCCCCAATGCTGAGCCCTGAGCATGGGTGGCAGCTGATTGTGACAGTCAGGTCTGGAGACCAAAGACATAAAAGCAAAAAAAAAACCCTCAAAATTGTAATTTTGACCAGTGTCTTTGTATTGCTGCAAATGCCACCTTTGGCACAGAGGGTTTTCTGAAGCTCTGCTGCTTCTTCTGGGTCTGTGGGTCGGTCTCATGGGAGCCACACCCAGAGGAGATGGGTTGAGCACAGGGACACAAAGCAGTGGCATCCAGGAGTCCAGGAATTAGCCCCCATGAGCTGCTTGCCAGGAAAAAGGATTTTGAGGGATAGGAGGGCACAATTTACAGGTCAGATCCAGGTAACAGAAGGCACCTGAATGCTGCAGGGAACCTTCCCACCAACACATCTGTCCCCTGAGACTGTGTGGCTGAATTATTTTCTTCTGAGTTAATGCTACGTGAGGTTTGCCCCCCTTTGATAGCAGGAGATGGGTACAGGCTTGTTAACAATTCCCTGAGGAGCTGGGAAGAAGAGGGAGAGGGTGTTGGTAAGAGCTGGGAGAGGCAAGGAAGGATTTCCAAGGAAGGGAACCTCGGAAGAGACGGGAAGGGGAACACGAATCTTCTTTGTAGCACAGCTAAAATCCCCATCTGGCTGCAGTTTCATTGCTGGTTGACTGGAAATCCAGGGGGGTGGAGAAGATTTGCTTTTCCTCACCTGAGCATGGGCTCACACGAGGTGTTGGGTCCCACGGCAGCGATGGAGCTCGTGTGGACAACGTATGGAACGCCCAGGACACAGCAGGCCCTCAACACATTCTCGGTACCTGTGGGGCAGGTTGGAAAGGACAAACATCAAGCACCTTGCCTTGATTCCTGTTGTTCAGGGAGGACAAATATCGACCCCCTTGGCTTGATTTCTCTCGTGCAACTCAAAAGAGGTTTCTGGGCTTGGGATGCTGACTTGGAACAGGTCCAGCTTTATTATGGCTGAAAAGATGCAAAGCCACAGGTCAGGGCTGCAGTTCCTCGGGTGTGTTTGCATGGGAATGGATGGTTTAAAACTTGAGAGTAGCAGTTCCATCTACAGCTTTAATGTGGCTTAACCTCTATGGCCACTGGCCACAGACTTAACCTGAACTTTCTAGTTGCTAACAAAAAGGAAGGTTGGCAGAGCAAAACTCTTATGTTTTCCATCCTTTTTTTTAATTTGTGGACAGACTTCTGGGTGATTTTCAGCCTTCTGGCAAAAGGATCAGTGTTTTAGTTGCATATGTGGCCCCATAGAAGCCCTGCAGGGTGCTACAGGGTGAAACCATTGCAGCAGCCCCTTGATAGCTGCAGAATTTTAAATAAGATAGTAGGGGTAGCCCACAAGTCCACATGAAAAACAGATGAATCCAAAGCATGGTTTGGTTTAAGGAAAGTTGGTCTGGCTGAACATGGGGTTTCATTGTCTGTGGCTTTAATTTGATTGGTTTGGGGTGTTTTGTGGGTTCAGATGACTCTTCCAGGGGTGGGTTTTTCCATTCATTGTGATTTTGATTCTGTGGTCTGTGACAACAGCATAACCATGGCTGCATTCTGAGGGCCTTCAAATCTGATAAGGCAGATCCTAAAGGCAGCAGCTCGTAGGGTTGGTTTCCAGAAGCCTCCATACTATTTATACTTGGCTAATCAGACTCTTCCCCTGAGCCTCCCTGCAGATCTTGGGTGGGAGGGCTTGTGATTTCTGTTCTCTTTGTTGTGAAAGGCATAATCTGAAATTACCAGGCAAATCCTGAGTTTAGGATAATTTCAGAGGGCGTGAATCCGTGTGAAGTCCTGGTGGAAAAGAATCAATGTACTCCTCCATGAGCCTATCACAATATGTAAAGTTAACTGAGAACCCCTGCTGAGAAACATCACTGGAAACAGCTGAGTTAAAATCCATTCAGCTTAACAAAAAGCAGATTAAAAAGTCTTCAAGTGACTAGATGGAAAAAAAAATATAATTCTTGTAGAAGAGAATTCTTCAATCTAGTCAACAAGACTCTAACAGGATTCGGCAGCCAGTGCTTGAAACAGAGGGGAGAATCAAAGTAGAAGTGTAAATTTTGGCCAGAAATGGGAATTAACCACAGCCACACCACCACTCCTCGGCATTGTTATGGCTTGCTGAAAGACATAATAGATAGCCCATTAACTTGCACCCTTAATTGGAGGCAACAAGTCTTTTGAAAAGGATTGGTCCAATTTAGCCACAAATTGTTGGGCTTAAGGCAATAATTGGATGAAATTCTGTGGCCTGAGCTGCACAGAGGAGCCAGCTAGAGGATTATACACTTGACCTGCTCTGACCCTATTTTTTTCCATGAAGTCTGCAGCAGGTATCAAATACCATTTTTATTCTTTTATCTGTTAGGATTTTTAACAGAACACTGTAGACTGCTCTCTCACTTTGAGATTTGGAGAAGTCCTTGTGAGAGCAGCAGGTCTGTTTTAGGGAGGTCTACAAGGAGCCATCTGAGGGGAGGCAGAAATGCAGGACAGGCTCCTGCTAAGCCAGCCCAAACTGCTCCTGAGAGGCACTCGGTCCCACTGGAAAATCTTTGCCTGTGTGGTTTGCTGGGAATGTCACAAACATCTGCAAGAGGTTGGGTTTGCTGAAGAGGGGAGTTTCCCCCTGTTCACTGCCCTCTCAAAACCTCCCTGGGCTGAAGTACCTGGCTCACAGCACGCACGGTGAAGAGGAAGGTCTCACAAAGCCATTACAGGGCAGTGGGAAGCCTCGGGCTCTGAATATTCTCAGTGCACACAGAGCACAACACAGGCTCTTAAAAGCATCTGGTTTTGAAAACAACAACGAGAAGAATTTAGATGTTACCCTTGAATGTATCAGCAAATAGTAGAAGCCCTCAGCAGTAACTGAGTTTGAGATATACATATAAAAAAGGGAAATTAAATCCCTTCCCTTTGGTTAACGGCTGTTTTAGTAGCTAACAGCCTGAGGTGCCCCTGGAATTGCTGCTGTAATAGGGATTTCATTATTTTTATAGCCTGTGCTTATTTCCTGGATTTATGAGCAAATTTTCTTTAAGCAGATCTTGCACCGAACACAAGATCTGCTCTTGGTGGTCGGAAGGACGAGGTGTGGAGCTTGTAGATAAATGACTTGTAGATACATGACAGTTGGGAACTCTGTAATTAAAATAACATCACTCCCTTCTAGTGGGTGCAGTTCAAGGGGTACAGCTTTGTGCTGGTGTAGATAGAGCTTTTTTTTTTATCCTTGGGAAGATCTCTAGAACAGGAGTTAACTTTTAGTTGTTGTCCTTGTCACACACTATTTCTCACCACTATGGGCATGTGGGAAGAACAATCACTTCTTAGGGAAAGTTATGCCCTGCACCAGAACAGCTGTATAAGAACTGAGCCCAGAGCTGATGTTTTGAGATGAGGAGCAGCATGACCTGACTGGAGCAAGGACAGAGGGGCAAAGGCAGGGACTTCCCCACTGGGGAAAAAAAGGTCCTGGGCACCTTTCCCGTCTTGTAGCAGAGTGGTGTGTGTGGAACTCAGGACAGGGCAGGGATTTTGGAGGGATCCTACACGTGAGCAGCTCAGGGAAGGGTCTGTGGCCCCAGCTGTGGAAGTGTGGTGACACGGAAACCTTCGGTGAGGACAAAGTGAGAAGAGGACGAGGTGACTCCTCACCAACTAAAGCAGGGACAGAACCCACGAGGAGCACAGAACCCGAGGGGGGTGTTTGCCATCACCCCTCGTGTGCCTGTTCCAAGGGGTGTGAAGAAGGCTGTGCTTAATGCCTTGCTTTCCAGAGCTCACCCCCCACGTTGACAGCTCTCATTTCCCAGAAGGGCACCGTGCCTCTGTAGTCCACCAGGGCAGCCGTGTGGATCACCACGTGCACGCCCTGCATGGCAGCCTCGAGCTCCTCGTAGTCCCGAACGTCGCCTTTCACCGCTGTCACACGAGTGGTGGCTGCAGGAGAGATAACAGAGCCAGAGATGCGAGGGAGAGGGGGAAAATAAAAGTACAAATCAGCACCCTGACCTTCCTGCAGAGTGAGGGTCCTGCGTGGAAAGCTTTGCTGTCTGCAGGGCGAGGCAGAGCCCACTCTGATGTTTGATCACATCACTCCAGGGGGAAATCCATCCCTATTTCCCAGCCCCGAGGAGCCAGATCTGCATCTGGGTTGGTTCAGCACGAGCAGGGGGCCAGGATAGCTGTGCCTGCCATTGCAAATCCCTGGTCTGCATCCCAGGATAGTGCTGAGAGCAGGAGACACTCAGTCACAGAGTGCAGCTGGTCACAGGGCTGCTCCAACCCCTGGGGAAGCTGTGCTGGACACTTGCCTTCAGCCAGAGGACTTTTAGGGCTTGCTGGGAATAACACCAGGGCAGTTCAAGGGACGTTGTACAGAGCTTTTATTTAATCTGCAAACACTGTAGATGGGAAGGGAAAATAACGTACCAGGATTTAAAAGTTTCATAGGAAATTCCTCTCTTTGAGCCACTCCGAAGGAATTTTTCCCCTATCTTCTTTCTCCCCCTCCTTCTTCCTAAAAATAGCTGTTCCATACATGGCTACTCTTGGCATCTACTACTAATTTTCTGGCTTTGAGACAGTGTTGCAACGTTTCAGTAGGATTTTCCCTTTTTCCTTTGGTGTAGTTGGGAACAGGCCAGCAGGGAGCTGGGGTTAGGAGGCCACACTCCCTGGGGATTTGCAATAAGGCAGCCACAGGATTGCTTTGGGAAGGAGAGGTCTTCTCTGCCCTGTGCTGGTGGCTGGCTGGAGAGCCCAGTGCATCCCGGGATCAGGGCAGGGATTTTGGAGGGATCCTACTCGTGAGCAGCTCAGGGAAGGGTCTGTGGCTCCAGCTGTGGCAGTGTGGTGACATGGAAACCCCCAGGGAGGAACTGCCAGGACGAGGTGGGAAGAGAACAGGGTTACTCCTCATGAACCAAAGGGAGGGACAGAATCCAACACAGCAGCTCTGAACGTTTTCTGAGCAGTGTGGGATGGAGGAAGGAGGAGGCTGGAATTTTACAAAAGGGTCAGGCTGCTTTCTTAATTAGCATAGCCAAGATTTGGTGGACTCACTCTTAGGAGTATTAATACTAAATAATACTAATATTGAATATTAATATTCACATTAATTCAGTATTAAAGCACAGAGTTTGCTGCAGTGAGAATAGAGGGGAAAAAGAAAGGAGTTGTTCATGTAGCAGAGGTAAAACACTTGCCCAGAGGTCCAGAGTGCAGAGGAGGATGCTCCCGCTGAAAGCTGGATCAGGGTGTCAGCAGACTCTTTGGGGGAATTTTTCTGCTACTCTGTGGTTTGGGAAAATCTGGAACCCATCAGGTTGAAGTGTTAAATAGACTTTTTTACATCATCGGTCTTAAGGCAACCATGAGAGATTTTCAGATTGATAAGGCCTGATGAGCTCTATCCAGAGCTATGAAGAGGTGATGGCTGCAACTGCAGCCCTATTGCATCATCAGCTACTTTGGAGAACTTTTGAAGGCACTGGGAAGCTGCAGAAGAGCAAATGAAACACCTGTGCTTAGAAAGGAGGTGAGGAAAAGCCAGGAAATTACAGAACATTTTGATTTCAACCCCAGGAAATTCAGGAGCACACACTGAGACGACACGTGTGTGAGCACCTGTGGGATAATCAGGAGAACAGAAGGAGCTGACAAGGATTTGTCAAGAACAAATCAAGTCAGATAAACCTCCTTTGTTCTCATGACAAGGTAACAGGCTGCAGGGATATTGTGGAACAGGTTGGTGCCATCTATCTTGATTTTTAGGAGGGCTTTGGAAACTCTGCGTCATTCTGGTGAGGGAGTCAGTAAAACATCAGCTAAATCAGCCCCATTAGGGAGAGCACAAAGCCGGTGGGATCGCAGTTCCCAGGGAATTGCCAGCTGTGGTAGGTGCCTGCCCTGGGGCTCTCCGGGGCTTAGTGCTGTGTTTGAGTCTCTTTTTATTGTTTTCCTCAAGAATCTGGCAGATTTGTTCATTAAATCAGCAGATAACATCAGACAGGGATTAGGGAGTGAGCTGAGTGTAACTCAGAGAGGCTGGGGAAAAAAAAAAAAACAACAAAAAAGGGGAAATTTGATAGGAACAAAGAGAAGCTGTTGGGCTGAGCAGGGAAGAGGCAGCAGGTCTTCATGAAAGGATTCATCTGGGCCAGGGCAGCTCAGGGGCTGTGCCTGTTGGCAGGTCCTGAGGCTGGAAAAAGGGAACATTGTAGTGACAGGTAAAGCAGCAGGAGGTATTCCAGGATGGAAGACACAAATCCAAACCTCAATGCCCCTCTTCCAGAAGGGAGCAACACCAGTGCCCTGAGGCACTGAGGGAGTGGAGGAGGAAGGAGTGAGTGCACCAGAGCTCATTTAGCTGAAAGGAGAAACCAGTATGGAGTGGAAGGAGGTGGTTTTTAGGGGATGAAGATTGTTGTAAAAAGATTACAGCAGTAGTGTAACACCTGTTCTCAGGGTGGATGAGAAGTGAAGGACTCCAAGTGCAGATCAGACTGTACCCACAGCAGTGGGCTGGTGGTGCAGAGATAAATGGGCTGCCTGAGGTGGCCTGGGGACAGGACAGATGAACCCCTGGGGGGAAGGTTGTGGCAGAGCTGCTCTGCCTTGGGGCAGAGGGATGGGGTTGGGATGGCCCCTCAGGCTGCTCCCGGTGTCAGGCCACAGACCTCTCCTGGAGCCTGGATTTTGGCACCTCCCCAAGGTTTAAACAGCTTTTCCTTCAGTTAGGGGTGCTCTTAAGGCAATTGGCTCCCTGAAACCTGGGGAAACCAGTCTGCTGAGTTCATGTGCCAGGGAGGGTTTCTCAGTGATATTTCCCTGGGAGCCTTAACTTGCTCTGTCTCCTATCGATACCTCCCCCCAGATGGGATCTCCCTGACCACTCCTGCCCCTCTCAGAGCAGGCTGAAGGTTTGGGCAGTCAGAGGGGGCCCAGCCCACCCTTACCCGAGCTACCTTAGCTTGTTTTGCCTGGGTCTTCCTGAATCCAATAAAACAGGTTGTTTTTCCCCAACATATCTCGCTGTACTCAACCCTGGATGAAGGCAGCTCTCAGAGGATGATCAAATGGATTAATTTAGTATCTCTGAGAGTGTTTACTGAGACTCACCTCTTCCTTCACATGCACAACAGGGCTGCTGTGGGTTTCTCCCAGTTATTTCCATAATTTATTTCACAATACCTGCAGCAGGTGCTGAGTTTCTATTCTGTTATTGTCAGGATTTTTATTTTTCAGACTTGGTGACTGGTTGGAGCAGTTCAGGAGGATGTTTTTGTGTCCCTTTGCTGTCAGTCAGACTGGTTGAGCAGAAGCAACTGTGCAGCCAAGGTCCCCTGTCACGTACTCAGTGTGCACACTGCTCCTTACAGCTGATCCCTGTGTGGGGCCTTAGATCCCCCTGTGATATCTCTGGAGGGTACAGCCTATGGATCTTTTTTGCTCTGATTTAGTCCTGTGCTGAAAAACTTTTCAGAGCTGGAAGTTGTTCTTCATCCAGTCTGTTTAACCCCATGCCTGTAACTGTGGCATCTCCAGCATTATTCCATCTGCCATGAAAGGGAGGGTTCTGGCCACCAAATAGATGCTGATGCTCTTTTCTTACCTGTGGTGAGATTTTCTACTTCTCCTTTCGCTACTGAGTCAAAAACTCTGACTTCTTTGATGTAGTCTTGTTGAGACAGGAGCTCTACGATCTTCTCCCCAATAAAGCCACATCCTCCTGTCACCAGGTAGACCCAGGCCCCATCCATTTCTGAAGATGTTTCTGAGGTTGAAGGTGGGTGATGGATCCTGCTGTGCCCTGCTGAGCTCTCAGACAGTGTGTTTTCTGAACTAAGTCTAAAGTTTAGCTGTCATAGAACGATCCTGGCTGAACATTAACCCCATCCAGTTACACATAAATCAGGTTTTCCTTGGCCCAGTCCCACAGAGCTGCCACAGGCCCATCCTGGACCCTCTGGCTCAGCCTTTCCCTTCTCCCACAGTAGCCCATGACCAGCAGGGCAGCTCTGGATTGCCTTGGTACGTGGCCAGTCTCCAGGCTGAAATCTGGATGCCAGAAGTTTTCCATCCTGGACAGCCCTTTCCCACAGCTGGTCTGTCAGCTGTGGCCCCTGGGAGCTGCACAAAGGCTGGAGGAGTGCTCAGGGCAGCCAGGGCTTGGTGTGAAGCTCCAAAGACCTTGGTGATTTGTGGAGGGGCTGCAGAGCACAGAGCTCTCCAGTGCTGAGCTGGGTCATGCCCAGCACAGGCAGAGGCTTTGTGGTCACTGAGTGTCCCAGTCTGAGGATCTGGTGTGGCTCTCCTGGGTGGATGCTGCTCTGAGTTGGAATACACACCCAATTCCAACTGTGTGAGTGGTTGGGGCCATTCTTACCGAGGGATCCATGCTTGTCTGCCTGTAAAAAGTGAGGTGTGGAGCGACCTGCTGCTGAGAACGTGGTCAGTGAAGAGTTAAGGCAGAGAACTCAGAGTAGCTGTGTTTTGTTTGTGAATAAATAGTTTTCTTTTAATCAGCTCCTGCTGCAAGTTCAGCCTGTTCCCCTCTGCCATTGATTTTCTTGAGCTGCATTAAGTGTTAGGAGGAGTCGGTTCCCCTTGCTGTGATTACAATCAGTGGCCATAATGGCCCAGAGACCAACATGGGCCTGACGCTAATTTGGTGCCTGGCAGACCAGCACAGCCACAAATGTCCCAAGAAATTAATTTAGCCTTTTATCCAGCAACTCCCAATCTGTACAGTGGTGATTAACAGAACTGCCTTCCCTCAGAGGACTTTTTGCAAGGATAAATATATCGGAGCTGGAGGTGTTAGGACTCAAAAACCAAGATAAATACACCCTGAGAGACCCAGAGAAGTGCTGCATGGGAATGTTTGGCATCAAGTAACCTTGAGGATGTCCTCATCAGTGATGCAAAGAGCTGTGTGAGGCTGAGGCCTCGACTCTGTGGGCATTTCTCAGTGTTTACAAGGCTTAGCCTTTGCTGCACTCTTGGTATCTGCATATCTGAGTGTAATCTGATCAGTGGGGGAAAAAACTGGCTGGGATTTCCATATCTCTTGTTTTTGTTAGGATGTGAAAAACAAGTTCAGAAACCAGCACTGGCACATCTGTGACAGAAACACAGCCCAGGTCCTCTCCTACAGAGGGGAGAGCCTCCCTTTGCAAACAGAGGGTGTTGCATCCAAATGGGATCGTTCCCAGTGTGGGAAGGGTAAACAGGTCCCCACCCACATCCTCCTCTGACAGTCTGAATTGTCACAAGAGATGATGGCTCTGGGGTCTCCACAAGCCCCGAGGCACATTCAGAGAACACACAAAGGAGGGAAACACCCAGGAGGTACTGGGGGATTTCAGGGAGGGGGCCTGGGCAGCCCTTGCTGTCTCAGCTGAGCCAACTCCACTTCTTGAACTGCATTAAGTGTGAGGAAGCTCCTGAGGAAGTGAGGCACCTTACAAAGACCAACAGGGCTTAATTCATGCTGTTAAGCACTGCAGAATTCCCTCTCTGCCTTGTTCCTCTGCTGCACCACCCGTCCTCTGAGTGCCCTCTCTCAGGAGAGGCAGAGCTGTGAACCCAGATCCGTCCTGACAGAAAACTCCTGCAGGAATAGAAGGGCTGTTCCCACAGGAAGCACCTGCCAGGTCCAGGCAGGGCCTCGCTCTGCAGTGCAAAGCAAGATGCTCAGAGGTGACATCACCTGAAGGCTCACCTGGGCTGCCTTTAGTCCAGGAACTGAACACCTCCCCAGGAGGGCAGATGTGCCCCTGTGTTTGGTTGGTGGGGCTGGGAATGCAGGGAGGTGACAAAGTGTGTCCTGGAGAGTGATCTCAGCCCCCCTGCAGCAGCACAGCCGACACCTCAGGGGAGTCAGTCCCACTGAGGGCAGGGAAACTGGGCCCTTTTTGCCCCTCCACCCCATGGAAGGTGAGCAGAAGCAGGGCCTTCATGCACATCTTGTTTTTCAGGAGACCTGCAAGCAACCAACCAGAGAAAGCTGAGCTGGCAGGAAGGAACAGCAGCTGCCCTGACTGCAGGCTGCAGTTTGCTTGAACTCGCCCTGAACTTTGCAGATAGAGGACACCTGACACGACGTTCATTTACAGTAAGTTTATTTCTCAGTGCATTACATGAAAGGTCTTTGGTATTTGTGGGTCCTTGAATACTGTTCCCACTCTGCTCCGAAAGAAAATGCTGAATACAAAACATTCCATATACAGTAACAAACCCCATAGCAAATAAAGAGAAATAGATATTTTGAACAATAACATAGCAATATGAAAACAGATAAGTAACCATGCAAGAGGTGGAACAAACAGGTTGTGTTTACAACAAACATTAAAGCCTGCCATAAATGAGTTCATCCTGTCAGACGAGATTTATTCTTGCTCTAAGTTAAGAAATTACCCATGATTGCAAGATACTGTGCATGGCTGCCCTGTAAAAGACCAAATGGTTGTAAAGCTGCTCCCCACGAGAGAAGCCAGGACCGTTTGCACACATACGAAACACACCGATATAAATAAAAAAGCTACTGTGGAAAATAACTAGTGAAAAAGTTACCATTTCCTTCTGTGGATGGGAATGTGCTTTTGTGAACAATTATAGCACCTTTGAACCCTTGGTTTCACAGGGAACCAAGACATCACAGAGACTGTGAGGAGCTTAACCCCCTACACCCCCAAACCCCCAGTGGAATGTCATCTTGAGTGAGGCAGCAGCTGTAAACGTGGAGGAGGATGGATTTGCAATGATTGCATTGAGAAGTAATTCCAGAAGCTGATTGTCTTTTGGAAGCCTTTGGCACAGTGCTCAGGGTGCTACATCACAACAGTTCATGGCAGTGAGCCCAGCCCAGAGCCCAGTGCCCAGAAATCCTTTGGGGAGCCACAAGGTCTGCCCCCCAAACCTCACCAGCACCTGATTTTTAAGGCCTGTTCCTCTGAAAGGTGATGGCAAAATGCCTGAGGAGTTTGATGGGAGCAGTGAGGGCTCTCCTCTCTGTTTTATTCCTATTTCCTTGGGTTGCTATCAATTCCTTCCAGTAAGTGCAAAGGAGATACTCTGGAGAGCAGCATTCCCTGCCTCCCAGGGTTCCAGACTGCTGGTGAACACCAGGGTGCACGAGTTGCAAAGATTTTTTTGGTTGTGCAACGTTGCTGCTTCTGGTTAGCTCAGGGCAAGGAACTGATCCAAGTCAGAAACACACTGGAGCTCAAACAAACGTTAAGAATTTCAAAAAAAGTCTTAGGAAAAAAAAAATAAAAAAGGGAAAGAACACACTATGGTATTGCACAGCATGTATGTAAGATAAAGCACTAAACATTTCAATTAAAATATATTTCTAAATGAGCACGCATTCAAGATAAATCCCCTTTCCAAGTGACACAGACATGGCAAGAAGCATTTTACGCCCTGGCTGAAATGAGCCTCAGTATCCTGCCTGCGATGGCAAATGTGGTTGGAGTGGTTTGCTTAGTCACCAGCATCAGGAATGTCAGTGTGTGAGGCTGTGTTCACCTTTAACACATCATTCAGTGGGGTGGCACGACAGGGGGATCCAATCCTTGTGTAAGGAGAGAGGAATGAAACCCCAGTGGAGAGAAAAAGTCCATTTGGTTTAATCCTCCTGTCCCCCAGTTAAAGATACAGTACCTCAGCAGAGAGATGGAGCTAAAGAAAGCAAGAAGTGTGGGGAGGAAAAAAATTACACAGCTCATGCAGAAACCTGGAAACATCAGTAATTAAAATGGTCTCAACCCAAACCTCACCAGCCTTTTGACAATTGACTTGGCAGGATTAATTGCAAACAACAGCCATTAAATTTTCCTTTCATCTTGCCAGTAATTTGTTTTAAATAGTATAAAATCCAACCCCCTCATCAATATGAATGCCTCAGTAACAGGAGTGACTAAAGCCTCAGCACTCACCAAGCTCATGCAACAGCTTTGAATTCAGAGGACAAACTCAGAGGAAGAAAGATTTCTCTTCCAGTCCAGTGGGAAGCCTCCAAAAAGTCAGGGAAGTGAAAATGGCCTCACTGTACTCCCTCTTCCCCAAATTCAACCCTGCACCTACAGGACCAGTGAAGCTGAATTTCCCCATTTCCCTTTCTAAAGATTGCTTTGGTTTGGTTTAGTTCCTGAAATTGCCCTGAGGACACGTTGTTACTGTGGCATCAACTGTAGCTGGCACCACTCTGCCCAGGGTACAAGTTCAGCCTGAACTGAGATTTCCCCTCAGTCTCCAGGCCTGATTTTCCATCACCAGCTGGTTGGCACAAGGAGTTATCTCCGGGAAATCACCAGTGATGTCTTGGAGTGTCCATGTGATCCAAGACCAAGATGGTCCTGATTCAACAGAATACTTCCCAATTCCTACACAGTGATCTGCCTGTAAATCTGCCTGTAAAATGGAAACATCTTTTTTTTTGGCATATTTAATTACTAAATGGAAAGATTATTCCAAGAATAATAAGTTCCAGTGGCTGCACCAGGCTCAGCTGCCCACCAAGAGAGCACCTGCCCTCCCAGTAGAGGATGGAGGGACATGGGCTCTGTAGCACCAGAAGCATCCTGTCCCTAGAGTTACACTGGATTTGGAGTTACTGCTGGATTTGAAACTGAGATGCTTCCAAAGAGACTTTATTTCATTATCCCAAAAGGACTGTGAATACAGGATGGCTGCTGGAGGTCAGTAACCCACTTGGGCAGTTTGACTTGTTTTCGTGTCCTCTGACCATACCATGCTCCAGCTGCAACTCAGAGTGCAGGCAAGAAACTCCCCAAACTTTTGCAACACTCTGGGC